TACTTTTAAAAAGTAATTAAGTTATTTTACTCGTTACTTAGAGTTAAATGTAATTAAGTTACTTTATTCATTACTCAAATAAAATTGTAATGAAATTACTTTACTTTTCAAATAGAAAAGTAACTCATTACTTTCTCGTTCCAAAAAAAAAATAAAATAATATTTTTATTCTTCAAAGTTCTTGGCAATTATCATTCTGCAGGCAATAATGTAATTACTTACGAGTTATGACTTAAAAAATAATAGTAACAGTACTAACATAGATTAAACATACATAGATAGATAGCCAGCGGCAATATAGAATTTGGAAACAAAAATTTGGTGACAATAGATGGCGCTGCTAAACATTTTCTACATAATATAATAATACCCGAAAATCTGTACCCGACTCATCCCGAGCCATGTATTGTCACCAAGAACATGATTTCCAAATTCCACGCAGCCGTTGGCTATCTATGCATGTTTAATCTATTATCTATGGTACTAATTAATTGTACCAACGTATCAATGGTAATTAATCATTATAGACATAGTTAAGTATATTATTATGTATTTATGTCACAAACTTACAACATAAACCTTAGGTATGTGAAAATAAAATGATAATACATAGGTATAGAACAAAATAAGAACTTATAAAAATAAACTGTTTTTATAACTGTCAAAATATGGCTATAATGATTTATAACAGTATACTTTTGATTTTATTTAATTTTCAGAAAAATAATGTTATATTAATATATTCTAATGTAAATTATAAATATAGAAATAACTAATAAGTATTTTTAAATTCAACAGTTTTTGTACAACACTAAATTCTTTATAAAACCTGTATAGTTTAGTCCACGCTAGATACTCATAGGAAACTTCTGTAAAGGTACCCACCTATTTAGAGGAATTCAATTAAATAATAAATTGAATTAACTGTTCTAGGGATTAAAAACCATCGAAAACTGAATTATGGCTAGTTAAAATTAAATATAAATACATATTAGATCCGTAAACATAATAATACCCTCATTATAGACGATGTTTTTTTTCAATTCGTAATAGGTAGTTATCTACTAGTTACTTAATAATTCGAAACTGTAATGCGTGATTCTATAGAAATTACTTGTCAAAAGTAATTTCCATTACATTTTCGTTACATGGAAATAATTCTAATTAAATTACGTAACGCGTTACAAGCAAAGTAACGTCGTTACATTAACGCGTTACTTTCGTTACGTTACTACCCAATACTGTATGTATGTATGTATGTATGTATGTATGTATGTGTATGAGAGTTCATATGTAATTGCATGAATAAAGGACTGAGTGGCTTGTTAGTGTACTATATGGAATACTGGAATCGTTCGTTTGTGAGTGTGTGTGTGTGTGTGTGTATGCATGCTTGTATGTATGATAACTGATAAGTAGGGCTCGGATTTATATGTAAATACATATTTTTACTGTGACTTGATAAATTAATTTAGGTAAGTGATAAATTCGTTTCAAGGGATTTCCAATAAAATGAACTATATTTTATTTTACATATTTTTACATATTTTGCCATAAGTACATGTTTTTACATATTTCTCAATAATTCCATTTTTCCTACATATTTCGACAATTTGTTCATTTACGATTTATTATTTATTAATACAGACTTGCCCATGTTTCCAAAAGTACAAAATAATACCAATTTAATACCAATTTAAACTTAATCTAATCTACTGTCGATATATGTTTGATATTTATGACCTCATTAAGATTATTTATTGGAAAATTAAATGACAGTAAATCCCAGCCTTTTTGGTTAAACTGTGAACAATTAGATAAATGCAACCACCAAACTGTTGCAAGATTTTTTAATAATTCTATGAGTATATTATGGCCCGATATAGTTATGCACGAGAATGTATTATTATTTGTATCTGATGCCGCGCCATACATGGTAAAATCCGGTAAAGCATTAAATGCTTTTTTTCCAAAAATGATCCACTTAACGTGTTTAGCACACGCATTTCACCGAATAGCAGAAACTATAAGATCAAAATTTACAAAAGTTGATGAGTTAATATCTGCAGTCAAAAAGATATTTCTAAAAGCTCCCAGCCGTGTCGAAATATTTAAAAATATGTACCCAGATCTAAGCCTCCCTTCACAACCAATTGTAACTAGATGGGGCACTTGGTTGAATGCCGCTAATTATTATTGCCAAAACTTCCAAGAAATCAAAAATGTTGTTGCCGAACTCGAATTCTGACTGGTATTTCGTCTGAAGCTTCATTGGAACTTTCTCCTTCAGACATAGTCAACATGCAATATTGTCCTATAACATCAGTCGAAGTTGAGAGATCTTTCAGTCGATATAAATCAAATTTACGACATAATCGGCGATCTTTCGAATTCGAAAATTTAAAAATGCATGTCATTATTAATTGTAACCATAATAATTAGTAATTAGATAGTTAGATAAATATTTTTTTTATTACATTCCATTTTAATTAATAATAATATTTTTTTTTTTTTTTTTGATAATACATATTATAAATTGTTTAGCACATATTTATGTACATATTTTTGTTGTATAAATACATACTTTGGTTAAATAAATACATATAAATCCGAGCCTTACTGATAAGGTATAATATAATATATATGTTGAGCGTGTGTTCAGAATGAAAACTGATGAGTACCGTATGGTATCGTGTGTTTCATAGTATATTTTAGTTTGTAAGTTTGGTCATGTCATATTTATATGTATAAATATACCTAAGTATCGTATATATTAGGTATGTAATTTGTATAATGTGTTCAGGAGTATGTGATAATGATGTGTATATAATTGTTTTGATATAAATTTATTATGTAAGTATTGTTACGTACAGCCCTTCAGGAATCCAAAAGCTGATGCAGTAAAATATAGTCAATTTAAATATAAATCAATTGGAGTTTTATTAAAACCAATAATAATTAATATAGTCGTGGTGAATTGTAATGCCGTGAGTTGACTCGTTGTAGTAGTTGATAATCTCAAGTTGTGTGTAATGGCTGGTGCATAAGCGGCTCGCTCGGTCTTGGCGGCTCTGGTACATCTAATGTGTATTGGGGCCCTGGCCTCTATATATACGAAGGCGACGTCCTTTGAATTGAGCGGCGCGTAGCATGTAGGCGCCCTTGGTAAGTTGTAGTGGTTTGGAGCGTCCATTCTAGCTATGACCACTTCTAGGTGCGGTCGACTAGGCCGCCTTTCACATAAGTGGTTCTTGTTATTATGAGCGTTTACATGAGTTGCGTAATCCCATTATGGTATGTACCTATATATGTAAACTATATTATAATATATTTGAGATACATTCCGGTGTATGCTTTAGCGATTCGTTTTTTCGTATGTAATTATATAATAACTGAATTTGTAGCTAATGGTAGGAAATATCTTCTATTCGATATTTGTATACTATAGGTATGATGGTCATTTATTGATTAGTTTGTAATGTTCAGCTAGCGTGCGAACGGATGTCTATTTTATCCTTTAAGTGATGGCTCCTAATGACAATACCCGGTGGCGGTATTGTGTGCGCACCTGCAAGCTATTATTACTAACAAATGTTTCTTTTGCAGTTTTATGTAAAGCTATGGCGAGTATACATTATAAATAATTATACCGAATATTTTTCAATAAAGCAACCCGAAACACACACATAAACTCGTCACACGATCCGACATTATTATACGAAAATATATGATAGGTTTATGTACGCTAGGAATCCTTGTATAGGTTTAACGGCTTTGTAGCTTAGTTGGTTAAAGCGCCAGAATGTAAGACGGACATCGAGAGTTCTCCAAAGCCTATTTTTTTCAATATTTTATTAGAAATAACATATATCTTAGAAATAATTTTATAATGATAACATAAATATCATATACAAACACGTTCAACACTGATAACATGATAACGTATATTTTATTACAAATAATATGATAACTGATAACATGTGATACTAGTGATAACTGATAATGTATGATAGCTGATTAAATGTATGTCCCTCACGTAGAGCCATAGAGTATATAGAGGCGCCCTAATTGGAATAATATGAAGCGGAAATGGAAACAAAACAGTGTAGGCAAACTATAGAAAATATTTTATTGTATATGAACTATAATACAATATTTATTGTAATTTAATTATATTACTCATTATTATTACTCAATTATATCATATTGTTCTATGGTTATATTAACCTTTATTTATAACTATCAATATAATATTAATTATTATAATATTACTGAACTGAACTTGATTTGCACAAATACGTAAATACTATTATAATATGTTACGGGAGGGTAGTAATTTTTGGTGAGGAAATTATCAGTACTATCAATACTTAAATTATTGTAACACGCCATCATCTTAGGTTTGTTCTTAAAATAGTTTCTGAGTAGAAAGTATTATAACATATTCAAAATATTAAATTTTTGGGATTTACGAAAAGTTGAAAATTAGCGCTATCTATCAGTTGCTTTGTTAGTTATTGGAAACCAAATCCGACATGTTTGGCTTCACATAATTCATAATACTTATTCTTGTTGAAAGGAGGTTATAATATGGATCGACAAAAGATAAAATATACAACACAATTTAGTTATAGTAAGAATACGTAATATTTCACTAAAACTAAAACACATAACTAAGTATGAAAAGTAATTTGACTTCCAACAATGTAAGCACTATGTTTACGAGATATACATGACATACACATAAGTAATACCTAAAATGCAGTGCCTACAGTACACAACTAAACAATCTTATATACTAATGATCTACTGACCCCTGGCTCACGCCACTTTACAAGCTTGCTTATTGGCTAATACAATATCACGCCATATGTGGTGTGATTTATCAGATTCTAATAACAGCTATATTTTGTTATACACAATATGATTATACTACTAATACAATATTAAATTATATTCAACACACCCCCGTAATTAATATTTTATATAAACATGAAAAATTAAAGTAATTTCAACACTGATAATTTTTGCCTTAATTTTTCAAACCTATCCTTCGGAAGTGGCTTAGTAAATATGTCTGCATATTGTTCTTCTGTTTCAACGTACTGTAATCGAAATAATTTTTCTTCAAACTTTTCCCTGATGAAATGATACCTGACGTCGATGTGTTTAGTTCTCTTGTGAAACTCTGGATTTTTCACAAGTCGAATTGCACTCTGATTGTCCACATACAATGTCGGTTGTCCACCCGTTGTACTGGTGCAGATTTCTTTTACCAATCTGTCAATCCAAATCAATCCTTTGATTGTTTCACACGCCGAGATATATTCTGCTTCAGTTGAACTTAGTGTTACTATGGGTTGCCTTTGCGCTTGCCATGATACCGTAGATACTCCTAGCATGAACACATGACCAGAAGTTGAACGTCTTGTCTCTGAATCTCCTGCATAATCTGAGTCTGAAAATACGCTTAAACACAAATTTACGTTAGATTTGTAACATAAACCAAATGTTGTTGTTCCTTTTACATAACGAATTATTCGCTTTACCATGGTCCAATGTACCGACGTTGGATTATTTAAAAACCTACTAACATAGTTAACAGCGAATGCTATATCTGGCCTCGTGACTTGAGATAAGAATAATAAGTTTCCCACAGCCTGCCTGTATGGAAATTGATTATCACTCGTTGTTAATTTCTGTTCTATAGTATGTGACCTATCAATTGGTGTAGATAACTCCTTCGCATCTAATAAATTAAATTTACTAATAATCGAATTAGCGTAATTTGTCTGGTGTATACATATTGATCCGTCAGTACATCTAGTTATTTCCATACCTAGAAAATAATCTAAATTACCCTGTGTTATCTCAAACTGTTGTTCAAGACCTTGCAACAATTCATTTGTTTTTATTATGCTACTCGACGCTATCAAACCATCATCAACGAAAATAGCTAAAATTAATGTTTCGTTATTATAATGATTAAAATAAATACATGGATCCGATGCACTTTGTTCTAGTTTGAACTCTAATAGAAATTGCTTAAATCTATTATTCCAACACCTTGGCGATTGTTTCAACCCATACAAACTTTTATTTAGTTTGCATACTCGTTCTGTTGAATCTTCGAATCCAATAGGTTGTCTCATATATATGTCTTCCTCTAGATTACCATATAAAAATGCCGTTTTTATATCAAATTGTTTTAAATCGTAATTTTCTGCTGCTGCAACGGCTAAAATTGTTCTTATTGATTCATACCTTACTACTGGCGAAAACGTTTCTGTATAATCAATACCATATTTTTGTCTTGATCCATTGATGACTAACCTAGCCTTAAAACGATCATTATGTTTTATTTTATAAACCCATGAGTTGTTTATAACATTTGCTCCCACCGGCTTTGATACCAAAGTCCACGTTTCATTATCACCTAATGATTTAATTTCATCGTTCATCGCTTCTACCCAATTAGTTGCGTTATTGCACGAAATGGCTTCTTTGTATGTTAATGGCTCAGTTTCTACATACTTGGTAACGAATGATTGTGCAACATACCTGTCTGGTGGTTTTAATTTTGTTCTATCACGTAGTTGCATATTTGGATGTTCTTGTTGACTTTCTGTGTCGTTTTCCACTGGTTCTGATTTTATCTCATGAACCTGTTGTTGATTTTCATCATACACTACTACTTGTTGATTTATTTCGTTTTTAAAAATAACATCTCTAAAAATACTTATATTAGTTGTACCTGGAAACCATACTCTGTAACCTTTGGTATTATTGCTATAACCAACAAAAATGCCCTTTTTGCTTTTTGCATCCCACTTTTGTCTTTTCTCTTTTGGAATATGAGTGAATACTTCAGTTCCAAATATTCTTAAATGACTTATTTTTGGATCCTTGTTAAAATAAAGCTCATACGGTGTTTTACCTTTAATTGAACTTGTACCAGTTAAATTCAGTGTATACACAACTGTATTAACACTTTCTGCCCATAATGATATATCTAATTGCTTTGAATGTATTATTGTTCTTGCAGCTTCTACTATTGTCCGATTATCTCGTTCAATTTTTCCGTTTTGTTCTGGAGTGTACGGAACTGTTGTCTGATGACTAATTCCGTATTTCTGCAAAATACTAGTTATCTCATTATTAACAAATTCCAAACCGTTGTCAGTTCTTAAAACTTTTACTTTACATCCTGTATCAGTTTTAACTTTTTGTATAACCGTCCCGATTATATTTTTAACCTCATTTTTATGTTTCAGAAAATACACCATCCTATAATGTGTATAATCATCTTTTATTAATAGGAAATACTTTGACCCACCGATTGAATCTTTCTGCATCGGTCCACACAAATCTGCGTGTATTATTTCCCCTACTTTGTCACTACTTGTCGTACTTGGTTTAAACGAAAATTTATGTTGTTTACCCAACATACAAGAATCACAAAAAAATGTATTGTCCTTATCAGAAATCGTAATATTATGGTTTTTTAAACAATTAATTACGTACTGTATATTCTGATGTCCTAACCTTTCATGCCATAATCGCAACGAATCTTTAATCGCAATATTTACATGATGCGTAGTATTATCTAATACTTCGACTTTGAACTGCAATTGAAATAATTTTTCTTTTCTCTCAGCTACACATACAATTTTATTGTTTCTAGTAAATACACATTTATGTTTATCACTAATCATTTTAAGTCCTTTATCTAAAGCTGAACCGCATGAAAATAAATTATATTTTAATTCCGGCACGTGTAACACATTTAATAGATAATTTTTATTCCAATTACCTTTAACATACGACCAAATTAATATTTTACCTGTACCGATTGCGTACATACTTGATCCGTTCCCGATTTTGACTTGAGTCGGATTTTCTAATTTTTCGTAATCTCGAAACCAATCATAATTTGCACACATATGATCTGATGCACCTGAGTCCAATATCCATTGTTCATCATCTTTGATTGATACCAATGTCGACTCACTTATAAATGCGTTGTCGTCTTTATCCGACGATTGTCCTTGATTTTTAAGAAAACTCCTGCATTCCCTCTTGATATGCCCAACTTTTCCACAGTAAAAACATGGACCTATTTTTTTAGTATTACTTGAACTACTAAAATTGTTTTTACCTTTTTTCTGACTACCATTTTTCCAGCTCGACTTATTTTGAGATTTTGTAGTAAATGCACTAGATTTTTCAACATCAATATTACACTTATTGCTTTGTTGTACCAAACGTGATTCTTCCACTAACAAACGACTTGTTAAGTTATTAATCGTTTTATTCTCTGATTGCATTGAATCCCATGCGCTGTAAAAATGCTGATAGCTATTTGGTAGAGTCATTAGAATTTTTGTTATTAACATGTTATCTGTTATATTTTCACCTGCTAATCTTAAATCATTAGTTAATTTTTCTAGTTTAGAAATATGTGCTGAAATGTTATCTGTGGGATCCTTTACGTAACCAAAAAATTTTTGTTGTAATAAATACATATTCGCCTCAGATTTTTGTTCGTAGACACTTAATAATTTTTCCCACATTTCATATGCACTTCCACAATTAATTAAATATTGCATTGGACCACTTTCTACCGAAGTTACTATTACCTTTTGACACTTACTGTCTGCTTTTGTCCAAGCGATTAATTGATTTTTGTACCGGCTTCTTGCCTCTTCATCGGATTCCTTGTCCGAAAGTTTAGTTATCTTGGAACTTGGTCTCGTCCAGTCCCCTGTAATCAAACTACCTAACTCAAACGAGTTAATTACTATTTTCATCTGGAACTTCCACAATGGCCATTCTTCTGCGTTCGCCAACTTTGACACCTTGACCGAATCCTCCATGACTTGATCAAATATATGAACTGCAAAAATGTACCTTAGTCTATTTGTTCCCTGTTAGAACCTGTCAAATTCTAATGTTGAATTTTTCTTTTGTTGTCCTGTAATCATCAATGACGATGATCTAGTGATCTAGTGATCTGGGCCCATAACCTGTTGAAAGGAGGTTATAATATGGATCGACAAAAGATAAAATATACAACACAATTTAGTTATAGTAAGAATACGTAATATTTCACTAAAACTAAAACACATAACTAAGTATGAAAAGTAATTTGACTTCTAACAATGTAAGAACTATGTTTACGAGATATACATGACATACACATAAGTAATACCTAAAATGCAGTGCCTACAGTACACAACTAAACAATCTTATATACTAATGATCTACTGACCCCTGGCTCACGCCACTTTACAAGCTTGCTTATTGGCTAATACAATATCACGCCATATGTGGTGTGATTTATCAGATTCTAATAACAGCTATATTTTGTTATACACAATATGATTATACTACTAATACAATATTAAATTATATTCAACAATTCTGATATGGCATCTCTATATACTCTATGCGTAGAGCGGTGGTAAAAATAACTGATAACAAATGATAACTGATAAAATATATGTCACGTACGTACGCGATCGGTGATGATAAAAGGAATCGTCAGAAGGGTCAGAAGGGTCGGTGGTCTGAACTCTCTTTTTTATCCTACTTACAACAATATTAATAAGGAAATTATAATATTAATAACTTTTAGATAATATATTTAATTTTAGTTCGCAGATCCGTTTTTTCATAATGGATTTCGAATTCTTTACGGCCAGTAAAAACGAAACATTATTGGTATCCGGTGCAATTTCGAATAGTTTAGAAAAATACCAACCAAAAAATTGAAGGGAAGTCCTCTTATACTTACGAAAGACTATAAGTTAAGGAGATTCCGGCGATGCGACCTTAAAGATATTGGGCAAACAATCAAACGGGTATTCCGGGGGAAATAGGCAAGCGTGATTGCACCACTGTTGGACCAGTTATACAAAAGGGTAAGCCACCAGAGGGAATCAACCTTGTTAACGGTTTACTTGCAAAGATATTTGCTCATAGACAATAGGGATCCAATAATAGTATTTTGGAATGGAACTACGGATATAACAATAATTAAATGATTAAGATTAAAGGATATTTTAGCATTCTTAAATATATCAGCATATAGTGTATAGGAATAATGATGAATTTAATTTAGAACTAACAAATTTAGAAACTAAAGAAGTTTTATATTCAGGGTATTTAGTAAAATTAAATAAAAACGGCAGAATGTTGGGATCATCAGAAGCTCATGGATTAATATGCGATACTAATCATAATATTACGCATTGTCAAGACCTAATTGCCGACGTAATCTTTACAAAATGTCTATTCAATTATGTAGTTTCAAAAACAAGACCCATATATTTATATAAATTAGCGTGAAAATATAAAAGAAATTTGTTGAAATATACAATTAATATGTAGTACATGTAGTTAGCCTTGACACGTGTGTACAATATAGTAACTAGTTATGTACGAGCATAAGACTCACTCTCTTTACGGATGTAACATGACCTCGGTCGTGCATATATATAGGGCCTTTGATGTATGTAATATTCACTTGCACAGGCGTCGTTGTACCGAGCGTATACGATGTGTGTGTACTGTCACAGTTTAATTGTCCAGTTGTACGTTATTATATATTATACTTATACATAATCATATTGTCGTGTTATTACTTATTATATTAATGCTAACATCATTAGTCCGTCAAGCTTCACTTTCAACAAAATTATAAGCAAAATAAATAAAGTATTAGGGTTTATGTTAGAAAAAAATAAATAAGTTTAAGAAAAAATAAATTAAAATAAATTTACGATGAAGGTAAATCCATAATTTAAAGTAAACAAAAATGTATGGTTGCATATATGTATGACAATTTTAACAATTATTCATATAGATGTAATATAATAATTAATTGGTGGAAGGTAATAATTATTATTATATTCAAGGGAAAATACTTACATAACATTTCTAATATTGTAATTTCAGGTGAAAATATTATTTAATTGTTTTGAAAGGATTATTGCTCCTTTTTACTAACACTAGTTTATTTAATAATTTATGTATTAATTTTATTCTTACTAATCACGATATAGGTTTCACTTGTAATATGAAAAAATAATATATATGTAAACAATAATTATGTATGACATTAAAAATTGTAAATGTCTACACTGTAATATCAAAATTGTAAACTGTTATTGTAAACTGATATAACGAAATTGTAATCAAATGTATGTCAAATTGTAAATCAACTATTGTGATTAATTAACTTAAATATTATTGTTAAAGATTCTTAACCCTTAAAGGTTAACAATCTCTTTTTTGGTGAGGAGGTGTAATGGGATTACGCAATTATAATCATTTCATGTAAACGCTCATAATAACAAGAACCACTTATGTGAAAGGAGGCCTCGTCGACCTTCCAAGGACCCTCCAAACCACTACAACTTACCAAGGGCGCCTACATGCCACGCGGACGTCGCCTTCGTATATATAGAGGCCAGGGCCCCAATACACATTAGATGTACCAGAGCCGCCAAGACCGAACGAGCCGCTTGTGCCACCGGCCATTATACACAACTATACACGGAGATTAATGCTACAACGAGTCAATTCACGCTACTACAAATTACCACGACTATAGTGCTTTATTTTGGTTTTAATAAAACTACATTTGATTGCTATTTCAATTTGACTATTGTTTATTATAAAAGTATATCAACTTTTGGATTCCTGAAGGGCTGTACGTAACAATGTTGAGTTGGTAAATACTAAAAATTAAATTACAATTTATATTTTAAAGCTAACATTCTATATTTATAATTACATAATGTATAGTTTTAATGACAGTAAAAATATTTTTTTACTGTATGCATTTCGGTACAGGATTCCCAGGACCCACTGCTTCAGTTTGGAACAATATTTCCCAAATGAAAAATTTAAATTGAGATGATGAAAAACCAAAGTTATCGCCGAATGCGATTTATACTATGGTGTGTAAAAATTATTATAATATATACTAGGAGTTGTATCTCAGTTACCAACAGTTGATAATCAAGTTTTCAAAGGTACTAAATAATCATTTAAAATTTGTATCTTTTCTATTAATTAAATAAATATCAGGTATACGTAAAAAAAATGCATTCTTATATTAAAAATATTTCTAGATCAAGGTGATAGTTCTGATATTTGTAGTTCAGATGACTCTGATATATCTAGCGTGCTACGAACATTTACAATTACGTTTTCGGCATAAGAATGGTATAACATAAAACCAGTGACAAATATCTGCAAAAGAAAACGAAAGGGTGTAGTTATTGGGGACAGACCATATTTAACCCTGAAACCATGTCAATGGACTAACACTGTATTTGAACATTTTCATTTGCATACAAGACTTCCCTGCAGAATTACATTTGAAAGAAACTAAGTATCTGACAATGGGTTATCTTATGTAAAAATTGAAGGTTATTGAACAATATAATATTTTTGAACTTTTTTTAATTGAAAGGTGAACCTGAACCTAGCCACATTCCTTCAACAAATACATTAAGGATTGCTAAGTGTCGGAAAAAAAAGCAAGGCTTCTTCACGAAGATCCATATACTGCCCTATCAATGATGAAATATAGTGATCCGTACAGATTATCGATTCATTCTATAGGTTTTTTTTTCTGATAAGTAAATATTTTTTAGATAATATTAGATATTATCAATTTTAAGCTATAAAAACAGTGAGTGTTGTTGAACACTCGGCAGGAACGAAGTTCAGTGCATGTGATGCGAGACGCGGAAACATATAAGGTTAGAAAAATATAAATAAATAGTGATAGAGAGAGAGAGAGACAGAGACAGAAATGAATGCTTGTATAAATATATCGCGCGCATGGTAATAAAATTATAATAAATTTTTTCTGAGTATTATAAAAAAATGGTATTTTAATCATTATAAAAGTACAAAGCAATTATGAAATTAATCAGTATTCTCAATAACAGTAAATATTGGTTTGTGGTAGCTGAAATATGTCACGTATGTTTGTGATTGAATTTTTTCTATATATCTCGAAAAAACCGCATCGATAGTGGTAGATTGTTGTAGATTCCGACGGATTATTAATAAATGACAATAGACATATTAATATGTCTATGGAACAAACCTATTGATGGGGGACGAGGTGGCCGAGTGGTCTAACGCGTCGACTGCGGCGCTGGCAGTCGCGGGTTCGCCTCTCGACCACTGGGCGGCATTTTTCTCCGGGCAAGTCACGGTGTCCGGAGTACAAGTGCCGCCATCCCCCAACCCGGGGCATGGCAGAAACCTACGGGTGCCCCAATAAAAATTCTGCCACCACAAACACACACGTGTACCAACCTACCCAAACTAAAAACCTACAGTTCCCTACCAACACCCAATGGCCTATGTTGCCGCGGGTTATCCAATAAAAAAAAAAAAAAACCTATTGATGGTTAAGTCAAATTCTACTGAAAGAAATTTTAATAATGATACGGTTGATACAGCTTGTACTCGATTATCGTTTTTCAAAAGTAAATTTTAATTTTATTTGTTTAATAGATTTGTATGTATATAGAGAAGAAGGTAAATGGAAATCACAATGGAATTTATAAATTTAAGGGGCAAAAATTATTTTGAAAATAAAATTCTTATCACTTTCCTTATCAATAAAAACAATATTTATGAAAATCCCAATAAATCCCATCAAAAACTCAAAACCCCGAGTTTCCCCTTGGCGAGGTGGGTTTTAGTACTCTCCCGGACCAAAATCCATCAAAAAAGCAAAATCCAAAAGGGGGGAGGAGGTGCCCCCGTTCCCTAAAGCGGAAAACTGTAGTCTTCATAATAAGAATGGGTTCCCCCTTGGTCCGAGGTCTTTAACTTGAATTCC